ACTGATGACAGAGAGAGAAACAAGACAGTACCCCAGCTTACTTTGGACTTGAATCATACACTAAAGGTATCCTGCTCACTCACCCTAGGTCCATGTTCTGTGGTCCAAATATGTTTACCACCTTAGTAGTTTAGAGGAAATCCATCTACAGTTAGTACTGACCACTGTATTCTTCTTTTCTTTTCAGGTATGAGGGCATTCTTGATAAAATCTTGTAGGGGGGATCTTGTGGCAATGAACTCCCTCAGCTTTTGTTTATCTGGCAAAGTTTTTATTTCTCCATCATATCTGAAGGATATTTTCACTGGATATAGTATTCTTGGCTGAAAGTTTCTGACTTTCAAAATTTTGAATATATCATTCCACTCTCTCCTAGCCTGTAAGGTTTCTGCTGAAAAATCCACTGAAAATCTGATAGGGCTTCCTTTGTAGGTTATTCTCTTCTGCCTTGCTGCCCTTAATATTTTTTCTTCGTCATTGACTTTTGCCAGCTTACTAATATATGCCTTGGAGAAGGTCTTTTTACATTGATGTAATTAGGAGTTCTGTTACATACAATTACAGCTCCTTCTCCAGGTTTGGGAAGTTCCCAGTTATTATATCTTTGAACAACATTCTCCAGGTTTGGGAAGTTCCCAGTTACTATATCTTTGAACAAGATCTCTGCTCCTTTTCACTCTCTTCTCCCTCTGGAATATCTGTAATCCTTATGCTGCATTTCCTAATTGAGTTGGATATTTCTTGGAGAATTTCTCCTTTTCTTTTGAGTCTAAGTTTTCCCTCCTCCTCCATCTGAAGCATTTCTGTGTTCCTATCCTCCAGATTGCTAATTCTATCCTCCATGTTGTCAGCTCTGTTGTTTAAGTTCTCCAGGTTTTTATTTATCTCATCCACTGTGTTTTTCATCTCTAACAATTGTGTTTGGTTTTTCTTTATAGTTTCAATCTCCTTTGTGAAGAATTCCCTCTCTTCAGTAATTTAGTTCCTGATTTCATTGAACTGTCTTTCAGAATTCTCTTATAGCTCATTGAGTTTTCTTATGATGGCTGTCTTGAATTCTTTGTCATTTAGATTGTAGATTTCCATGCTGTATTCTTCTTTACAAAGACAAATAGCTTAGTAAGACTCTCCACATATTTGAGGACAAATTGTAGCATGAAAGAGAGGCTCCAAGTTGAGCAAAAACACCCTGTAATCCTCTGAAGAAATGGTTAATGCGGAAGATAGAAGAATTTTTAAGGATGATATATTTTTATAATTATTTATTTATTTATTTATTTATTTCCCCCAAAGCCCCAGTAGACAGCCGTATGCCATAGTTGCACATCCTTCTAGTTGCTGCACATGGGACGCGGCCCCAGCATGGCTGGAGAAGCGGTATGCCGGTGCGCGCCTGGGATCCGAACCCCGGCCGCCAGCAGCGGAGTGCGCACACTTAACTGCTGAGCCACCGGGCCGGCCCAGGATGATATATTTTTAAATATTCATGGAAGACTTATAAAACCTGAGCATGTATTGGAATATGAAGAATATCTTAACAAATTTTCAAAATGTAATAACTAAGAGGTTAGGTTCTCTGATCACATAATAAAACTAAAATCAAATAACAGAAGGGATAGCTAAAAAAATACCTAAACACATGGAAATTTGAGATACTTTTCTAAGTGTCTTGTGGCTGAAGGGAGATCAAAACTGAAATTACAGACGATCAGTCATGAACCACAATGAAAATCTGCATATCAAAATCTTTGGGTTGAGGACAAAGTGACGCTGAGGGCATTGTATAATTTATTAGAAAACAAGAAAGATGGGAAATAAATTTACTTTGAGAATGTTTTTAAAGAATGGGAGAAAATAATATGGATAAAACAGACAAAAATGAATATAACAGCAAGAAACAGTTTTACTTAATTAAACCAAGAACAAGTTTAATTTGAAAAAACCAATAACATAAAACAAACTAACAAGTCTGATTAAGAACATGTGTGTGGTGATGGGTTGTAATTGATATTTTGGTGGTGAACATGATGTGGTCCATGCAGAAATAGAAGTACAATGATGTACACCTGAAATTTTTACAATGTTATAAACCAATGTTACTGCAATAAACAAAAAATTAAAAAAAAAAAAAAAAAAAGAAACAATGAGAGAATACAAACAATGTTAGAAGTGAAAAGTGGGACTTGCCAATGGATAATGAAGATTTTAAAATTATAAGATGGTGTATATAATTTTATATTGTAAATAAAAATGTGTTGAGGGGCCGGCCCAGTGGCATAGCAGTTAAGTTCACACATTCTGCTTCTGTGGACTGGGGTTCACTGGTTCGGATCCTGGGCATGGACTTACTCACTGCACATTAAGCCATGCTGAGGTGGCGTCCCACATAGAGGAGCTAGAAGGACCTACAACTAGGATATACAACTATGTACTAGGGCTTTGGGGAGAAAAAGGAAAAAGAGGAAGATTGGCAACAAATGTTAGCTCAGGGCCAATCTTCCTCAAAAAAAAAAAAAGAAAAGTTTTTTAAAAAAAGTGTTGAAACAAATAATGATCCAAGCTTTAAATTAGTAAAGCTGACCCAAGAAGAGATAAGACAATAATCATAAAATTTGAAAGATAATCTTTTTCAAATATAATCCTGTTGCCCCAGAGGCACTAGGCTCAGATGGTTTTATGGCTGTGTTCTGTTTTCCAAGATCAGAAAACAGATCTGTTCTTGTTCTTGTTTCCTGTTAATTAAAACTTTTTTAATAAAGAAAAAGATGGAATAGACTTTCTTATTTATTCCATGAGATTACTGATACTAAAATATTAACACAAGAAAGAATGCAATATATCAATGTCACTTAATAATAAAGATACAAAATCCTAAATAAAATCTGAAAAAGCAAGTATAGAAATGTGCTAAAATATGTGATTAAAATTAGAAGAGTGATTTAACATCAAGAAGTATATTAATTTATCATGTTAATTGATTAGAGAAGAAAAACAATATTGTTGCAATGTATGATAAAAAGGCATGTGATATATTTTAATTGCTATGCTTCCTAAAAATTCTCAGAAAGCCAGAACAGAAGGAAACTTTTAATTTCCTAAGAACATCTATTCTGATCTCATTAATATGAGAAACAACACGTCTAGTATCCTGTTTTTGTTCAGCAGTAATTTGGAGGTTCTAAACAACGTGATTAAAAAGAGAAAGAATGAACTTATATATAAATTCATGGAAGAGGCAAAATTATAATTAGCAGGTGATATGATTGTTTATTAGAAAATTAAAGAAAATCAACTGAAAGTCTGTTCAAGCAGTAAGAGTTCATTCCATTGGTACCATATAAGATAAATGCATAAAAATCAGTACCTTTTATGTTGTAGCAATAAGTTTATTTACAATTTCTTTAAAACCCATTAAATCTTTTATCCTGACAAGAAATCTGCACCTTAATATATACACACATAGGTATGTGTGTATGCGCATGCAACTTTACTGAAGGAAATAAAAGAAGACCCGAGTAAAATAAAATGAGGGAATACTATAATCCTCTTTAGAAGGAGTCAGTATTATAACAGTATCAATTTACACCCAAATTTATTAATTCAGTGCAACTCCCATCAAAACCCTAAAGACTTGTTATGAAAATCAAGAAGTTGATTTTAAACTTGGGCATAGAAAAAGGACTCAGATTCTTTTCTTACATTAAAAAAAAAACTTCCAAATGGGTAAAGGTCTGAAAACAAAAGAGTTAAAATTATTAGATGAAGCAAGTAGACTACATTTAAAATCTTAGTTTGGGGCTGATTGTAATCAAAACACAATGCAGAAAACACTAAATGTTAAAAGATAGGGCTACATTAACCTTATAAATTACTGTATCATGCAATTAAAAAGCACAGACATATTAAAATAAATGTTTGAAATATATATAACTAAAGGTCAGTGTGCACAACATCCATATTCTTCTACAAATGAGAATGGAAAAATGGGCAAGGGTCACGAGTAGTCAATTCACTAAAAAATAAAGTAGTCAATAAAAATAAGAAATTTTTTCAAAATTTTTCCTTCTGATCTGAAATGCATGTTAAAACAAGGTCCCAAGACTACCCATCAGATGTGTACAAATTGAAAAGATTTATGTTTATTTTCCAGTGTTGGCAAGGGTATGGAGAAAAGGACATTCATATTCATTGGTGTGTGTAAAAATTGATAACAGACTTTTAGAGGGCAATTTCTTAGTGTTAAATAATTTAAACCTCACAGTTTCACTTTTGGGAATTTAGTTTACATGTGTTGAAAAATAATATGTAGAAGAATGTTTACTACAGTATTATATTTCGCAATAAAAAACAGGAAACAACTAATGTCCATAGTAGAAAAGTGTTTGAATGAACCGCTATACTCTGATAAATTGGAAGACTATGAACAGCCATTAAACTGAATACACTCTCTGACCTGTTCTGGAAAATGTCCATGATATATTGTTAAGTGAAAGAAAACAACTGCAAGAAGTTACACACTATGTTTATAGAAAGAGCATGTGTTTAAATACATAGAAGTACAGTCATGGAATTGTTAATAGTGGTTACTTCTGGGAAGTGGGATTGGGGTTTGAGGAATTATGAGACATTGACTTTTATTTGATATTCATCTATGGGTTTTTTTTTAACATTTTAAGATTACAGAGAAAATGTAAAGTTATGTATAGATTCAATCTATTTTAATGACTTTAATGATATGACTTCATAATGATATGATAATGACTTCAAAGCGTCTGGAAGTGTCAGGCAAATACCCGTTAAAAAATAAGATGATAAACTAAACTAGCATGTACAGGTGTGATAGCAAAGTTTTGAATCTTAGGCATTTTTCTTTTCTTATAAAAATTTACAATGAGAAGTAAATGTGATACTGCTTTATTCAGTTTTCATACAGTCTCGGGGTTTTAAAACTTTGAAATCAAGGACATGCTGTGTACAGTCCCCCTCTGAAAGATGAGCAGAAATGTAGCATATAGCACCATCATTCCTGAAGGTAAATAGACCTTTTTTTAATTCAAAAAAGCAATAATTTTCAAGTTATTAAAATGAGAACCTTCAATATCTGATTTCTTTTATTGGCTGATTGGTTTTCTCCCATCTTTCCACTTATGAAAAAAGATGAATAACCTGTGTGATCATTACACCTACAACTCTTCTGGGTGCCAAGCTTTTCTCTCCATTTGCCTATTAGATGTCCCCTCTGATTTTTTTCCCTACCAACCTACACCTGCATATGTGTTCGCCATCTAAGCTAGAAACCAGGTGATCCACCTTTATTTGTCTATCTTCTCATGCCTCCCACATCCATTAATAGCTAAAGTCCTGTTGATCCAGCCTCTTAAATATTTCTTAAGTCTCTCTCTCTCATCCCCCCTAGTTCCACTGCATAGACAGACTATAACCACTTCTTGCCTGGATTACTCTAATAAACACTCATTTAGTCTCCTTGCTTTTAGTTTTGCTACCTTCAGTCTAGCCTCCAGACTGCCACCCACCAGTCTGTCTAAAATGTATTAATGTAATAATTATATTCCTCTGCTTTACTGTCAGACTCCTGCTGTGGTACACAGGCCATTTCATCATTTGACCCCTGCGTACCATTTTTCTGTTCTCATATTTCCGTGTGCCACTCTCTCTGTACCCCTACTCTCCTCCTCTTGGCATTTTTTTTTTAAGATTTATTTATTTATTTATTCATTCCCCCCCTCCAAAGCCCCAGTAGATAGTTGTGTGTCATAGTTGCACATCCTTCTAGTTGCTGTATGTGGGACACGGCCTCAGCATGGCCGGAGAAGCGGTGCGTCGGTGTGCGCCCGGGATCTGAACCCGGGCCTCCAGCAGCGGAGTGCGCGCACTTAACCACTAAGCCACGGGGCCGGCCCCCTCTTGGCATTTTAAAGTCCTGTGACACAAGACTGCTTGCAGTTCTTGAGCTCTAAAGGCTGCTGTTTTCATGCCTCTGTCAAATTGTTCATGCTGTTTGTTCCCTGTGGTTTAGGTATCTCATTCTCTTTGAGGCCTTTCCTGACTTCCTTAGGTAGCGTTTATTTTACCACCATACCAGGTGCTTCTAACAGAATATCAAAATGATTTTTAAAACTTAGTTATTTGTGTTTCTCATCTGTATAGACTGAAAATATTCAGATCATTGGTTATTTATCTATGTCTTCAGGTAAATATATGAAATGTGCTCAGTAAACATTTAATATATTAATGAAGTTTTCCTCTAGCAGAGATAAAGGAGTATGACATTAAGCCATTAGAACCCTAGGTCAATATGTGACCTATTAACTGTTTTCAGTATAGTGTTCTTTCAGAGAGTTTCTTTATATTAAATGATTGAGGCAGGTATAGGCTCCAGGGTTAGTTTCCTAGCCATTGGTTAAATGATTTATTTTTGAGTTTTAATGTAATGCTTCACATTGACAATAAAAATGGAAAATTCTAGAATTTTAATGAATTTTTTGTGTGTGTGTGTACGTGGTCACAATATTTCTGGAGAGTGTTATTATCTGTGTAGTCAGCCAATACTGATGTGTCGTTTGTGTATTTAGGGATTTCTTTTGCGGGACAGAGGAACAGATGTTGAGAGTTTGGACAAACTCATGAAAACCAAAAACATACCTGAAGCTCACGAAGATGCATTTAAGACTGGTTTTGCAGAGGGTTTTCTGAAAGCTCAAGCACTAACACAAAAAAACCAATGGTACGTTGGTTTGATATCATCCATGTTTGATAAGAGTATTTGAAAGAAAGTCATATTCCTACCTTCAAATGATTATAAATAACTTTTCTAACAATGATCCTACTTTCTATTGGTTACATTCTACTATATTTGTAACCTCAGCTGTGCGGAAATGGAAGTATCTGCTGGCACTTTCACTTTATCAGGTGAGAAACCAAAGTCAAGGACAGAAGCATGAGTGGCTTCATGAAGTTTTCGGTAACAAGGTTGTCTGGCCACACTCCGAGTTGGGAGAGCAGTGCGGGATAGGTTGCAGAGAGATGGAAGAAAAGACCTGGAGACGGCGAACAAGACATATAGGTTTATTGGGAGTCACTTACAGGGAATGCTCAGTGGCCTCAGCCAGCTGGATAGAAGTGTGCACCCGCTACCACGTGTGCATAGGTTGTTTATATAGAGAGGAGGCACAAAGGCTACATGCTTGCCAAGGGGCTGTCCCTGGTACAGCCAGTTTCCCAGGAACAATATCTCACGTGGAGGGGCTCTGTGTTCCTTCAAGACATGATGTTCTTTAAGTGACATAAGGTAGGATCCGGGCTGGCCAGGCCCTGGATTGTTACAAATCCCAACAGCTGGGTGTCGTGCCCAGAAGGGAGCCGGAAGAACACGCCTGTTAAAGAACAGGAGCTAGTGCCCCACAAGGGTGCTGAAAGGAAATCGTGGCAATTCTGCAAAAGAATGCCAGGTTCCAAGATTGCATGTGATAAAATATGATTATCATTGGTAACCTAACGTTTGCATTTCATTGAGTTGTCATTTCTCATTGAGGTCATTTGATTTAAGGCTTTTTCTTTCTCCTCCAGATTCTCTAAGATGAACTCGTCTGACTGTTCTGCTGCTATTTGGCATTTATGGACTATTAAAAAACCCATTTTTATCTGGTAAAGGCTCTTTTTACTTATATGGCTTACTTTTTAAAATCTTTTAAATACTCATTTCTTTTTCAGAGTTAGTCTAGCTAACACTTAGAGAAAGAAAACATTAATGTTTATAGTTCTAGGGTCTAGGCCTTCAATTCCTAAGTCAAGATTTCTCAGATCCAGTCACTTTGAGATTGTTTTTTGCGTAGAAGTAGAGGTGTTTTCATCTGTTATGGTTGTATACCATCTGCATTGTCTGGGAGCTTATTCACGTTGCTTTGTGGATTACAAGAAAAGTTCCAAGGATTATGTTAGAGTGAAAATGTTATTTCAGTTTCTAGTAGTGGTTAGTTTCCCAGATTTTTAGAAAATGATACCTGTCCAGTTATAAAACTAAAAAAATATGTAGAAGAACCTTATAATAGCAATACAAGTGAAATAGTCATCTATTTCAAAGGCAAATTAGTAAATTGAAATTATTTTAAAAATATATTTAAAAAGTGACTTTAAATGAGTCCCATGTTTTTTCAGTTTGTCCGTCTAAAATGAAGTAGTAATGTCAGGTTTAAGTGGTTCCACTTGCTTTTTCAACTACTGTTCAGTTTTTACCCTGTGTTCTCTACTCTACGATTGATTACCTTGAGAGAAAAACCTGACATATGGTGAAGAACATCGGTTGGCCTGGATCGGGACTTCATCCCAGAACTTGTGTGTAGCCCCAGATATTTTTAAAGTTTTTTGTGGCATTAAATGTGAGATAAGATTTTTAACATCCAGGAATAGCCTTTTTATATCTAGATTCACCTTCTCTTGTCTCCTTTTTTCCAAAAAAGATCCAGTATCAGGACATGAGGGTGGTATTGGTGGGTGGCGGTGGGGTGGGATGAGTTCTGATTATTTTATGTTTCTTAACTGATATGTTAAGCAAAGCATCTATTAAGGTATGGAACGCATTGTCTTTGGGTAATTACTCTAATTTTTTATTAGGTTCAAGTGGTTCTGCTGCAAATTTATTCACATTGTGTGTTAAATCCAACAACTATATAGATACTTCAATAATTTACTAGGCTAAAACTGTTAGTCTCCATTCTAGAATTACGGTTTTAAATTTGCTGTCCTGACTTGTATGTTCTTGATATGTTAAACATTTCTTGTTAACCCTATGTTTTTGCCGACTCATTTTTTGGCTTCTAAATTTCATTGTATCTTGAAGACAATATTTTTGGCTTCTTCTGAGGAAGTTAGATGTTGCTCAGTTTACTCGTTCATATCTGTCTGCTGTGGAAGTTTACCCAAGGGGGAGAGGTTTAAGAAAGCTTTGTAATAGTTCCCCATAGTTGATCTCAAATATTTTATTACTCTACCAAACTGTTACTATCTTTCTTATATTGAATGGTGTCATTACTGCTATATCATCGAAGGCAAGAAATAACAATTGTCAAAGGACGAAGGCTACGTGAAAAGTGAAATAGTCTGTTAAGCTTCACCCTTTTTTCTTAATGCCAGTGCCAGTTTTTCATGCTACGTTTAAGGGAATGTATTTCAAAGTGTAGATCCATGACCAGTTGAATCAGGATAATGAAAGAGGATTAATAAAAATGCAAACTCTCCTGGGCCCTTTTCCTAAAGCTACAAACCAGAAGGTCTGGGCCATGTGGTTTGGAAACCTGCATTAATACATTTATCAGGTGATTTTTCTGCATACTGGAGTTCGAAAACCATTGGATCAAGATTTCTATCATTAGATATTATAAGGAGAAGAGGAAAATAATTCTTGGTTTTAATTGGAAAGTACAAAGATGTTGTTCTAATGTGAATCCTTTATTCCTTGAATATTGTCTAGAAATCCAGAAGACCTAGTTTCTACTCCTTACCCTGACTGACTGTATATGAACTCAGATATTTAATTTTTCTAGGTTTTGCTTTCTTTCATCTGAAAAATAAGGTAGTTGGAATTTTATAATTCTATAGAGTATATAAACATTTCTTTTCTTCCTGTTAGTCCGCTTCCAGACAACAAAAGGGCTTGATTCTGCAGTAGATTCTGCACCTTTGAACATGTTAAAATGTCACCTTTGAACATGTTAGAAGAGTACGCTAGGGGCTGGCCCTGTGGCTTAGTGGTTAAGTGCGCACGCTCCGCTACTGGTGGCCCAGGTTCAGATCCCGGGTGCGCACCGACGCACCACTTGTCTGGCCATGCTGAGGCAGCGTCCCACATACAGCAACTAGAAGGATGTGCAGCTATGACATACAACTATCTACTGGGGCTTTGGGGAGAAAAAGAGGAAAAAAAAAAAGAGTATGTTAAAAAGTTTACCTTGCCCTCTTCAAACATTATCTAATTGTATAAGATCAATATTTGATTCTAAAGGTGGGAAATAATATAAAATAAATATATTGCTCTCTGCCCCTGATTCCTGACACAGAGCTTCTAAGTCCCTTGGAATTTCCTGGGGGATAGGAGTGTCCTTAGTTCTAATGAGGTGATTCTGGGTGGGCTCCTGGATGGCTTCAGGATGGGGTGTGTCACCAGAAAGACCAAGGCATGATTAGAAGCTTGGAACTTTCAGCTCCACTCCCCATTCTCCAGAGAGGGGAGAGGGGCTGGAGAAGGAGTTAATAATTGGTCATGACTATGTGAGGAAGCCTCCATAAAAATCCCAGTAGTGCAGGGTTCTGGGAGTTTCCAGGTTGGTGAACGTGTGGAGGTGCTGGGAGAGTGGTGCACCCGGAGAGGGCGTGGAAGCTCTGCATCCCTTCCCAGATACCTTACCCTGTGCATCTCTTTCATCTGGCTGTTCCTGAGTTCTATCCTTTCATAATAAACTAATAATCGAGTACGAAAGTGTTTTCCTGACCTTGGTGAGCTACTCTAGCAAATTAATCCAACATGAGGAGGGGTCATGGGAACCTCCAATTTACAGCCAGTTGGTCAGAAGCACAGGTGACAAGCTGGACTTGGGATCGGCATCTGAAGTGTTTGTGTATGGGGGCAATCTTGTGGGATTGAGCGCTTAACCTGTGGGGTCTGATGCCATCTCCAGGTAGATAGGGTTAGAACTGAATCAAATTGTAGGACACTCAGCTGGTGTCCAGAGTGCTTGGTGTGGGGAAAAACTAGGACACATTTGGTGACCAGAAGTGTCGGCGCTGACGTGGAGTAGTTGAGAGTGAGTAAATGGAAACAAGTGTGTGTATTTCCTTTACATTAAAGATTATTCTGAAATAGGTAAAACTGCATCCAAATGTATTAGAAACTTTAGTGTTTTGGGTAAATGACAGTGGCAGAAGATCAAATGATGTTTCATTCCAGGGCTTGGTATTAACTTGTGGAAGCAGCAAGGTGTAGTGGAATGAGTGTGGACTTCAGAGTCAAACACTAAGATTTCAGATTCATTGTTGACTTACTGGCTGTGACCTTGAGCAAGTCACTTTGGATTCTCACAGATAATGTATGTGCTTGGCATATAACTGACGCTCAACAAATAGTACTTATCTTCACTTATTCCTCTTATTGATCCTTGTAACTCTCATATCTAAAACATTTGTATTTCTTGAATGAATAGAACGGATGAAAGCAAATTCCCAGCCAGTTAATTAAATCATTTGTTTAACAAATATTTTATAATGTGTACTAAGTTCCAGGTCTTGTTTTAGGTACTAAGAACAAATAAAACAGATCTCTGCCCTCATGAAGTTTTAATTCTAACAGGAATTGGACAATGATACAGTATATAAGGAAATAATAGAGGATGTTAAAAGTGATAAAATGTTATGGTGGAAACTAGAGCAGGGGAAAGAGACTTGGGAGTTCTGAGAGAAAAGTCTCAATTTAAATGGGGTTTTCAGGGTATGATTGACTGAGAAGAAGACATTTGAGAGAGGATTTGAAGAACATGGAGGAGAGCATGCATGTATCTGAGCAAAGAACACTTCTGGCCAGAGGAAGTGAGAGAGCAAAGGCCCTGAAGCATTAATGTGCCTGGCTTGTGTGTTGAGCAATTAAAAGGCCACTTTCATATGGAGTGAGCAAGGTGAGTGAGCAAAAATAGTGGGAGATGAGATCAGGGAGGTTCACAGGATCAGATTGCACAGCGTCTTATAAGCCATAATAGAGACTTTGGCTTTTATGCTGAGATAGTAGGAGTCACTGAAGGATTTTGAGGAGAGGAATGATATAGTTTGACATAAAATTTAATGGGAACACTGCTGTGTTGATAATAATCTTGGGAGGACAAAGATAGAAGACAGTCTATTACCATAGTGCAGGCAAGAGATGATGGGGGCTTAGACCAACTTGGTAGCAGGGGAGTTGGTGAGAAGTGGTTAGATTTTTAATATATATATTGAAGGTAGGACGAACAGGGCTTGGGATTAGAATGAGGGATTAGAATGCAGGCTATAAGAGAAAGAGATGTCAAGAATGACTGCAAGATTTTTAGTTGGAATAGTTGGAAGGATGGAGCTGTCATATACTGAGAAGAGAAGGGCTATGGATAGAGCAGATCTGGGGACAAATACCAGGAATTCAGTCTGAGGCATGTTAAGTGTGAGATGTCCAAATGAAAGTGTTGAGTAAGCACTTGGATACATCATGTTGGGTTTCCCAGGAGAGGTCTGAGGGAGAGATGGAAATTGTAACAGAGATTACATATAGATGTGTTAAGTCCATGTGTTTGCCTGAGATCACCAGCAGGGTGAGCGTAAGTAGAAAAGAGAAGAGGTCTAAGTACTGAGCTGTAGAGCCCTCAGGTTCAGAGGACAGAGAAGAGGAATCAGAAAAGGAGAACTGAGAAGGAGCTAAAGCGAGGTGCATGAGGGTGGTGTTCTAGAAGAAAACATGTCCATGATGAGAGAGTGGTCAGCTATGGGGAATAGTATTGATGGCCTGGTGAGAACTGATTGTTCAGTTTAGCAATGGGGAGGTCACTGGTGTGCTTGATAAAGAGCAGTTTCATTGGAGTAGCAGGGGTTTAAATCCTGATTGCAATGGGTTTACCAGAGATGGAAGGAG